CTCCCCGCGGCCGCGGCCGCGCTCTCCGTCGCTCCCTCCCTCCCTCCTTCGCCCCGTCTCCAATCCCCACGTTTCGCCCGCTCCCCGCCCCTTCGGCCTCTTTCCTTTCTCCCTCTTCTCTCCACCTTCTCCCGCGAACGCAGACTCACAAAGAGACAAGAAGCAAGAGGAAGGCAGAGATTCGGAGACAGGAAGACACTAAAAGATCGGGAAAAAGATTTTGAAAAAGGCACGGAGAACACGGGAAGAGGAAAATTAAGAGACGAAGAGAAACCCAGAGATGGCGACAGATAGTCGAAGAGAGACTGACTTAGAGGTACACAGGCAAAAAGAAACACCCGAGCCAGACAGACGCCGAAGAAAAGGTGGACATTGGCCCTGCAGGAAATAGAATCAAGAGTGCCCAGAACTGCCCGCCCTCTCTCAGCCCCCTCACCCCCACATCGCCCCCCCCCCCCGCCAAAGGAGTTTATTTGGCACTGGGCACCCGGGACCCCCCCGCGGCCTGGCCGGGTGGGACAAGCGCCATCTGCCCACGGGGCGCCAGAATCAGGTGAAGACACCTGGTGTTACTTGTGTCCCAAGTCACCAGACACCCTTCCCTGGTCCTCTGCCTCACAGGAGACTTCCCTGTTGTCACCTATACCTACTAAAGGGCTCACACCAGAGGACCCCACATCATTCTCAATCAAGCCAATGCCTCCCCACCCCCACCCCACATGCAGCTCCAGTCATCCCATCCATTGCCCTACTTGGGGAGCTGGGCGGTCATTCCCACTCCTTAGGAGACTTCTTTTCAAGAAAGTCTTCCTCACATTTAACTCAAGTCTCAGGCTTTCCCAATGATACTGGAAGTTCTTTCTATAGTCTAACCTCATTCCCTTCTTTTGCAGTTTCTGGGTCTAGTATTGGATAAGAGCTTCCTGAAACTGAGCTAATGGGCCCTGAGGGTGGTTTGAATTGTGCCACCCAGAAGGGGAAAGGGGAGGGGAGAAATAAAAGAGGGGATGTCTCCCTAAAAGCTCAGAGACTATTGCCATTCCCAGATCCCCTAACGTTCTTTAGCAGTGAGCACTTCCTGAAACTTTCTCTCCCTCACCCTCCCCACTAGAGTTTCCATGATGAAAACTGGAAAGGGGGGGGCGCGGGGAAGAGGGGAGGCAGATTCTGGATTCTGAGAATTTAATGCCAAGGCTTAATGCCCAGTGCCTGCTTAAAGCAGCCAGCACCACCAGCACTAAGGCCCTCTGTCCCTCCCTGTCCCATCTTTCAGCTGGGTCTCTTTTTGTTCTCATCTTGCCTTGGGCAGAGGCTGGGAAATCTGGTTCTGATTACGAGGGGGTGGAGCACCTGAGTCCAAGCTGGCGGCAGGGAAGAGACCGTGAAGGAGAGCATGGTAACAGTGTGGGTCCGTCAGAGACTGGCCTTTGGCAGGGGCTGGTGTGGCTGGGACAGAGCCCTGGTCGCGCAGTGGCTCAGCTGCTAACGAAAAAGTCAGCAGTTCGGAGTGAAATAAGTCAATCACAAAAGGACAAATATTGTGTAAGACCTCTACTGTAAAAACTCATGGAAAAGTTTACACACAAAAAGGAACAATCTTTGTTGGTTACAAGGGATGGGAGGGGTGGAGGGGACTAAATAGACGATAGATAAGTGGTAACTTTGGTGAAGGGTAAGACAGTACACAATACTGGGGAAGCCAGTACAACTAGTACAAGGAAAGGTCATGGAAGCTCCATAGACACATCCAAACTGAATTTCTGGGGGGAGGGCTGTGGGGACCATATTCTCGGGGAACATCCAGCTCAGTCGCCATAACACAGTTTATAAAGACAATGTTCTGATTCTACCTTGGTGAGTAGTGTCTGGGGTCTTAAAAGCCTGTGAGCAGCCATCTAAGATACTCCACTGGTATCATCCCTTTGGGAGCAAGGGGGAATGAAGAGAACAGGATACAAGGAAAAGATTAGTCCAAAGGGACTAATGAATGGACCACGGCTACCAAGGCTTCCACCAGACTGAGTCCAGTACAGCTAGACAATGCCCGGCTACCACCACTGACTGCTCTGACCAGGATCACAACAGAGGGTCCTGGATAGAGATGGAGAAGGACGTAGAACAAAATTCTAACACACACAAAAAGACCAGATTTACTGGCCTGACAGAGACTGGAGAAGCCCCGAGAGTATGGCCCCCAGATACCCTTTGAGCTCAGTGGTGAAGTCATTCCCGAGGTTCACTGTTCAGCCAGGGATTGGACAGCCCCACAAGACAGAAACGGTTCTAATGAGGCACAGCAGTCCAGGGACAAGGACTAGAAGGCAGGAGGGGACAGGAAAGCTGGTGATAGGGAACCTGAGGTTGAGAAAGGACAGTGTTGACATGTCGTGAGGTTGTTAACCATTGTCATAGGGCATAGTGTACTGTTTAATGAGAAACTATTCTGTACAAAAAAAAAAAAATTACGTGAGATCAAATTGACAACAGCAACTCAAAAGGTTTGATGGGAAGCCTAGGGGGCAGTGAGTTGAAGATAATGGTGATGGAATAATTTGGAAAAGGGTAGTGAGAATAACAGCACAAATGGAAGAATGTAATCAATGTCACTGAATTGTACATGGTGTGTTTTTGGCTATGTATATTTTCACCAAAAAAGAAAAAATGTCCTCCAAGGTTGAGAAGGGAGAGTGTTGATATGTTGTGGGTTTGTTAACCAATGTCATAAACAATATGCCTACTGTCTGTGTAATGAGAAACTATTCGTTCTGTAAACCTTCACCTGAAGTATAATTAAAAAAAAAAAAGTCAGCAGTTCAAATCCACCAGCCACTCCTTGGAAACCCTATGGGACAGTTCTACTCTGCCCTGTAGGATCACTATGTGTCAGAAAAAAAAAAAAAAGTCAGCAGCTGGAATCCACCAGCCACTCCTTGGAAACCCTATGGGACAGTTCTACTCTGCCCTGTAGGGTCACTATGTGTCAGAAAAGAAAAAAAAACAAAAGAGTTTTTTTTTTTTTTTTTTTTTTGGTGTGGCTCTTGGCTGAGTTGGTGTCCAATAAGCAGTTTCAGAGGTTAGATCATCAAGTCACTGGGGAATGGAGGAAGAGCTGGGGGCTGGGGGTGGTAATGTGGTGGGAATATGGTGGGGGCTCAGAGGGAAGGTGTAGAGAGGCACTGGGAGGAGGTGAGAGGCAGAGTTAAGAGAAGACCAAGAAGAATGGCAGAGACTGGAGGCTACTGGTGAAAGGGCAGGACTGAAGGTCATCCTGTGTATTTTGGCAAGATTTGATTACATAATCAAGATATAGAAGATATGAAGATTTCTTTATGTCTTTGGAGCCTACAGCTGGCTCTGAACATCTTGCCCTTCCCAACGTTCATCAGGGTCTTTGGCTGGAGACTAGGATGCATGCCATGGGGGTATTGAGGGAGAGACTGGGACTTGGAGAAGAGGATTGGATTCCAGAGAGGTGGGTAGAGCTAGGACCTCACACACACTGGTATTGCTGCCCCGCCTGGTGGGCCCATATTGAGGTCCCAAAAAGTTGGGAGAGAGTTGCAAGACAGGTAGCTGAACTCCCAGCTCAAATTTGAATCCTGCTCTCAACATGGAGACTAAAGGGGTTGGGGGAAGGGAGCTGCAGGAAAGAAGCTGATGAGAAAGGTTGGGAGTGAAAAATTTTACGGGAGGTGGCTTGGTGGGAGTGAAATAAAAATGGGCAGTGAATGGAGCCCAGCCAACCATCCTGATTAACAAACAGCTCAAAACAGCGGGACCTTCAGAAGGGAGGGGGAGAGGAAGGAGACAGCCCGGAGGATGTCAGTAAGGGTGAAACAATTCTAGGGATACCCTCTGACCCTCCCTCCATGCAGGTTTTCTTACCTTGACTATGCAGAAGGCAGCCCATCTTGGCACCAAAGGCTGAACCTCTTCTTCCATAGTCTGGGGTGATCCCATGCCTGTGACTGGGTGTGCTCAGATCCTGGCAGGGGCAGGGGTGCTACAGAAAAGGGGGCATTGAGGGTGTGGGACTGTCTTGGCTGGAAGAGCACTGGGTCAGGGGAACTTCAGTGGAGGGTTTAGGCACTGGGAACCAGGAAGAGTGGGGGAAGGGGCTGAACTGACTCCAGAGGCGGATCTCCTGGCCTCGAGGACAGAGGGTGTATTGTCCAACCGGGAGGTTGCTGCAGCTGGGCAGGGAGCAGCACAGCTCGACTCTTCTAAACCCCTTTTTGAGGAGTGGGGCGGGTGAGAGAAGGCAAGTTCCCCCTTCATTTGCGGCCCTAGGGGCTACAATGGTTGCTGAGAAACAAGGGTATCTGACAAATAATGCTTCTCAGGAGCAGATGTACAGCTCTGCCATTTCCTGAGAAACCAGATGCTGTGCACTTGAGTAGCACTTGAGGTGACTCCCTCAGCACTTACTGGGACTCTCATGGCCTCAGAACCCAGAACATGCTTAGTGCTTGTTTAGGGGAAACTAGGGTCCGTGGACTGGGATACACATGGAATTGCCCAGCCTACAGTTGAGCTACTGTACCCCAACTCTTCCCCCACCCTCTGGTCGCTCAAGATTTACAGCAAACTGACAGTGAAAGCTAGCTAGTCCTGGGATCCATTTCTGCTGTTGGGCTTCTAGGAGGATCCACACATCCTTATATAATTGAGGATGTGGGGCATGGCAGAGCCTGTAACTTTTCCTGAAATTTAGGGGCCCCTGGGTGGCACAAATGGTTAAGTGAAAGGCTGGTGGTTTGAACCCACCCAGGAGCACCTTGGAAGAAAGCCCTGATGATCTGCTTTAGAAAGATCACAACCATCAAAACCCTATGGAGCAAACCTCTACTCTGAAACACAGGCGTCACCATGAATCAAGTCAACAGCAACTGGTGGTACTCGTCTAGGGACATAGTACAGGGAGTGTCTTAGTCCCTACCTTTCTGTGCCCAACCAGCATAATCCTCTTTCAAGTCAGCCTTTCCCACGTTCGTCGGTCCTTTCACCATTATTTACCCAGACCTCAGTATTCCACAGGAGCGGAGGGGCTCGAAATGGAGGCTTGGAGAATGCATGTGACTGAGACCACTTCTGTGGTGGAGCTGGGTAAGCAAGCATTGCTGCTTTGTAGGTTCCACAGGCAGCCTAGTCAGGGGCACCTCCTTCTCCCTACCTATACCCACATTGTGAAAGGCTTCTGTATCATCACAGCACACTGAGCCTCTTACCCCTCAACTTCGCTAACTTTGGAGAGCAGAGATCAATGCACAAAGAGCAGCTGCTCCAGCTGGCCTGGTGAAGCAGTGTAACTGTGCTTCCCCCTCCCTTCACATCCCTTGGCTCCAAGTCTCCCAAAATGTTGACTGAGGTTTCCTGAGTTCCTTTCTATGCTCCACCCCCTCGTGACCTCAGGGACTCTCTTTGACACTGTCCTAACTCCTTTCCTGCTTTGCAACAATGACCAGTCTGTCCTTTTATTTGGAAAATTCCTACTAGGTCTGAGGGATTATTTTAAGGAAGAAAAGTGGCCTCAGTTGTGGTAGCCCAGAGCAACCCATCAACCAGAACTTCATCCCACCTGTTGGGGGTAACCCAGCAAAGTTAACACCTCTGGACTGAAGTCACAGCAGGGGTTTGCAGAGGCACTGACCCATGGATGTGAAGATTTATCCCCACTACATCTCATGACTAAAACAAACAGTATACTGCAGACAAGCTCAGGTGATAGTAAAGGTTAAATTGGAGGAGAGCTGGGATGTGACTTCTCAGTTTTAAGGCATCAGTAAGCATTAAAATAGATTTCCCTTGTAACCTTACCCTCTAGTCTTGCACAAAATGGATCTAGTGCTGAAACTTCAGAGATGGTGGGGATGGAGCAGGCTGGGCTGTCAGTGTGAGTTCAGTAAAAAGCAGTGGGAGTGGGGAGTGTATGTCAAAGAATTTCTGCATTAAAATGAACTTTAAAGATCAGATTTATTTGGAGAAAACAAAAAACCCACAACCCAAAGGATGGGGATTTTACATCTCAAGGTATCTCCCAGGTATCAAGTCTACAGATTACAAATCATTTTCATAGAAGATATTTTTGTACAAATTTTACATGTATTCAGGAGCTGGACATAAATCAATCCGTTTCTGCTTTAACAGGAGGGCAGAGTAGGGGAATGGGAAAGAATAGCTCTTTTGGATACAACTATTTGGAAGGAGAGTAGACACGAAGAGGGCAAACCCTACCTTCTCATTATCTATAGCAAATGGTTTAAAAAAACAAAACAAAAAAAAAAACTCCACCACTTTCAACCTTGTGTATCTCTCTAAAAGCCCACTTCCTAGTTACTAGCCAATCCATGCCAATTACTTAAAATTAATTTACTTGGAAGAGCTTTCATGTCCATTGGGTAAATGATTCATTATGCTCACTGCTGCAGCAAACAAACCAGCACCCCTGCATGGCTGGACAGGGTCTAGCCTAGGACTGATGGGAGAAAGGCTTGCAAACAAGAGACCAAGGTGTCATTTCTCTGCAGGTACCAGGATACCACCTACCAAGCTGACCCGTACAAAGGCGCACATAAAAGCAGGCAATTTAAGCTACTGTGTTGCAAGAGAAACCAGGACCTTGTTAAACAGTTCTCTCCATCATCATTTATTCTCTCAAGGGAAGCTAAAAAACACACACACTCACACACACTGGTCTAGGCCACATTATAAATCAAAACATTGGTGCGGGATTATCAGACAGAAGGAAATGTGTTTTTAAAAAAAAAAAAAAAAATCAAGGTTGTTAAGAAAGTCTCCCAATTTAACTGTTCCTAGTTATCTATCCTCATTCACCACTGAAGACCATTAATTCTGCGTTTTCTGATCTGTAAAAGGGGTCAAAGAAACAGGAGCAGGCATGGCTGATGGGAAGGGGTGGGAGTCAAGACATCAAGGAGCCCATTTGCTTGAGAAAAGCAGTGATTCCTCATTTGACAGCTTCCAGTGGCTGAGATATGAAATGCCTAAAATCTGTGACTTACACAGAAGCTGATTTTCTAGGATGTAACAATAAGGAACAGTGTAAGGAACACGAAGACAATGACAAGTCTAAACCTTTAAAAATTTCAAGGTTGGATACATTTGAACTTTCAGAAAGGATAGTGTTTAGAAAGGGCAAAACCAGGACACATAAAAGACCCAGGAATTCCCACAACCCCTAAGTGCTTCCTGCTCCAGGAAAAAACCATTCATGTGTTTATTGGAGGTCATACCATTTCCCTATTACCTGGTGCAAAAGAAACACCTCCCATAGCTTCTTGATTTTCCCATATATTTTGGTCACCAAGCAGTCCTATTCTTTCACAAAGGCCTGCAGATTCACTTCCTACTACCCCCCTGGGGGGTAAAAATGAAGGCATTCCCCCTAGGCTGGTCCCAGGGATCAAGAGATTCCTGGAGACTAAAACAACCTCAGAGACTGTTTAACCTACCTTTTCAAGGATGGATAATTTATTCAGATAATGTTTCAGAATTCATATATGCCACAATAGGATAGTAAGAATTAAAAGGTAGAACTCTCACACTCTTCCTTATACCTGCCCTACCGCCCAACCAGATTCCAGACATTGAATCACTGTTGTTACCATTTCTGCTAAATGGAGGCCTCTAGGCACTAATCACACAGGCAACTGCATGGTATCATAAAATGTACAACTTCTCCTTTAAAAGCTGTGTCTCTTTCTCTCTGGCTACATTGGTGATTCTCCAGTTAGTTCAACACTTTAAAGGCTGCAGCAGCATGCAAAAGAATTTCATTTAAAAAAAAAAAAAAAAAAAAAAGTTAAGAAAGGTCTCCAGGAGATGGTGAGTTTTATTTTGTCGTGTCTGGACAGAGGTTTGATTTGCTCTCGAATGTTCCAGGATGGAGAGAAACCAGGAGAAAGCACAGATGTACTGGTCTATTCAGCGTAATCTTCCCCCTCATTTTCATCTTCACCATCAACTGAGAGAGCAGCATACTTGCTTGCAGAACTGAACTTCTGTAATAGATGAAGAGTGACAAAATAATAAAGGCCTTGAATTCTCACATCACAACCCAAAAAACAGAACATGGATACTTTGGCAAATGGGGATTGACAACCCAGATTACACCCACTTGCTTGCTCATTAGCATTTCCCACTGGCTAAGGGAAAGGGGTTAGAGGCAAATACATTCTCACTGTAGTCAGATAACACCTTTTACCTTCATTCCTTGAAGGAATGAGTGTAATCAAAGGTTTAAAAAAAAAAAAAAAAAAAAGGGAAAACCAATTTATCCACCATCTTTCACCACCCAAGACCATTAATTCTAGAGTTTTCTGATCTGTAAAAGAGGTCAAAGAAACAGGAGCAGGCATGGCTGTTTGGAAGGAGTGAGAGTCAAGACATCAAGGAGCCCATCTGCTCAAGAAAAGCAGTCATTCCTTATCTGACAGCTCCCAGTGGCTGAGATATGAAATGCCTAAAATCAAGTATGTGACTTCATTTACTGTTTCAAACAAACACCAAAGTCTTATTTCCAACCACTCTACTTGTAGTCCCAAATGTTAAGGAGTCCAATGGCAAAAGTGAAAATCCTTTAAAAGTGGCATTTCGGAGTAAAAGTGAGCTGAAAAAAATTGAAGCCTTTAACACTTACGGAGGCTGGATTTTCTTCAGATTTCTTTGGCTCAGGTGCAGATCTGGAGTCTTGATCCTTTTTGCCATCTTTCCTGCAGAGATTAAGCACAAAACCACATCTCTAGAAGAGGACTCCCCTGCCCCCCATACACACACAGCTCTGAGGCATTGAACGGATACCTCCAGTCACCAGTCCTTGCTATCTGGACATTTTACTATTTCTAGATTCTCAGAATTTTAACTGTCTTTATTGGCTGACTTTAGTTTGTTCACAGTAGGAGACCTGGCAGTGCTTAGAGAACCAAGAACTTCTTAAATTACAAAACCAAACCCAACCCATTGCTGTCGAGTCGATTCCAACTCATAGCAACCCCACAGGACAGAGCAGAATTGCCCCATAGAGTTTCCAAGGAGCGCCTGGTGAATTCAAACTGCGGACCTTTTGGTTAGCAGCCGTAGCTCTTAACCACTGTGCCACCAGGGTTTCCTCTTAATTACAAAGACATCTGTATTTAGCATGGGATAAAAGATTTACAAATGATAAGCAAGCATACCTATCAGACTCCTTCCAGTGGTCTTTGTTCCCTCCATCTCCTGGACCACGGCTGGAGTTCCCACTTTGGCCTTTTGGGACACTCACCCCATCTACTTTATTTTCATCTGCTTGACAAAGAAAAAATAAATCAAGGGCAGGTAAAAGACATACTCTCTCTTCTCCTAGGTTTCCCTTAAGCTGAAGAAATGTGTGTGCCTACGTACTGAAGGAAATTAAACCTCGCCCCAACCCAGACTTCCTTCCTAAGGCTTTCTTCCCATGTCCTCTGTGTCACACACACAAAACAACCAAACAGGACCTCACTAAAAAGTTCCACTGTAGTGTTACACCATCATGAAAAGCAAGCTGGAAATAATAACTATGATGCTCTGTAGTGACCTTGGCCTTGCCAGTGGTGACACTTCTAATCTGGGCTGAGCATGTTAATTTCCTTCCGTTTTGTTTGTTTGTTTCTTTTTTTTTCCTTTCCCTTTTAAAGAAATGCTCTACCAGGAAAGGGCAGGGCTCCATGCTTTCTCCAAAGAGACCACTCCTGCCCTCTACTGGCAAGGAAAGGCAGATAACCAAAGAATCTTTAACACAAAAACAGGTTCAAAATACACAAAAAATAAAAATTTCATAACTCCTCTGTAAGCCATTTTATTCAGACCATATTCTACGTGAAAAACCCATTCCCCTCGGTATCGTCTTACCTTTCCTTGATGGTCCTTCTTCAGATGGCTGAGCTAGAGCTACTTTCCCCCCAACACTAGAAGGAAAACATATGTAATCATACTCATCAGTTGTCTCAGGGAGGGAAGAGATAAGAAACAACCATTCTTCAAGTGCAGTAAGCTTTACAGAGATCCCAAAATATGTATACTTATTTTTTTGAACATTAAAATATTAGAAAAACAACAATAAAAGCAGTAATTTGAACACTCATTGTCATATGCAAGGTTGATATTATTCTTCTCTATTTTACAAATAAGAATCCTAAAACTCAGAGACATGAAGTGACTCAAGGCCACTGCCAGGTATGAGGCAAAGGGGGAAACAGAATTTGCTTTGATTTATAGCAGTTGCAGATTTCTGTGGTATAAATACTCCCATCATGGTTGATTTCAAGCTATCAAGTAATGTTAACCATCTATCAAAACTCTGAAAAATTGAACAACTGGCTCTCATGAGCCGGTTCCAGCATGTGACTGACTCTGAACTAAGGGACCAAAGACAGCATAACTTATAATAAAGGGCATTTTCTATCTGATACCACAATATGTAAGACTCTGGCTAATCAACTGCTGTGTTTCCAAGCTGACTCACCTGGTAGGGGATTGCTGTTCTGTGTCTGAGCTCTGAGATCGAGCAGGAGGATTAGAGCTTCGCTTCACCCAAGCATTCTCCTTTGGTGGAGGGGCTGGCATTACCTTTAGAGGCTGATCAGGTTTGGGAGGCTTAGAAGTTGGAGAATGACAATCTTCCTCCTTACTGAATGTTTCATTTTCCAGAGACTTTTCACTCTCTCTCCTTCGTGCATCTGTGAAGTCAGAGTGGGAAGATCAAGTTATCAGGAAAAAAAAGTTTACTGTACAAGCCATCTTCATAGGATCTCAACAGAGAAGAAAATGGTCCACACATCCAAGTTTACCTCTTTCCACTGTTATTCTTAAACACAGATTATAATTTGGCTACTAACAGAACTACCCCCAAACCAGTGGTTTTCAAATGTGATTTTTGAGAAAAAATGTTTTACACAGAAAAATAATGACTACGTATACATCTCAAAGATTTTACCTTTCTTGGGTATGAGGGAGTATCTTTTATTTCAGAATTTTGGCCTTTCTACATTTTCAGTGTTAAAATGCTCTGACTTGGAGAACGAATGGCATGTATACGTATGCGTAGGAGATCATCGCGAAACCCCAAACTACTCCAGGAATCACTGCTCAAATTCAATTCAGAGAAGCTCAACACACACGCACGCGCGTGCACACTATATAAAACAGTGATGTGATTGTTTACAACCACACTTATACTTTTATGAGAAACAACATATACATTTGTTTTTTTAAAGGGCACCAAATGTCTTCTTAAAACTAGAAGCTCTAAAAAAGTAGGTACACAAATAAACCAAACATCACACTGTTACCTAACTACAAAGAGGTATTCCATCCTGTTACTAAGAGGCTCTTCTAGTATGAATAATTTCCAGATAACTCCTGTAACACTTGGATCAATTTCCAATTTACTTCAGCCTTGAGCCATGTTTTGAAATGCTCAAGTACATACCAATTTAGAGGTGAGAGGAGAGATCTTAAAAAACACTGGATCATGATAACGGAAGGACGTGTTATAATTGACCCATTCAGGTTTCCTAAACACTGAAAGTGCCTGTGACCAGTCAGTACATTAAACTAAGTGAGGAAGAATCAAGACTGGAATATCATAGGTTGAGACTCTGGATGCAGCTCACAGAGCACTCCAGGCCTATACTGCTCTGAATAAACAAAACTCTAAGATGTCAAGACATAAAATGAAGAGGCAAATCTAATAGTCAAGCACACTCTTTAGTGGCAGATTATTTATTAAATGGATCTCTTCTGGTGCCCATTTCTCAGAGCAGGAGATGTGAAACTTAGTCCATGTTAACCCAAATAAAGCGTTCATGGAGCTGACTGAATTGAATACCCCAGTCTCTGCATAATTTGCTCCACACATCCCCCAGATAGGTTATGGACAATGTCAATAATATGATACCCAAGCTGGTCTGACTTACTTCTGCCAGATGCAGCTGAAGTCCCAGTCTGTGATGACTCACTTCCTGTCCTCGACCGTTCCCGTTCCTGAGTTTCTTCACTACGCCAGCTTGGGTGTCTGTAACAAAGAGATTAACAAAACGTACGTCTGGTTTAATGAACACCACCATGTACCCATGCTGACCTTTCAAGAACCATCACTTACTAACATTTTATCCCACTTGCTTTATCTGTGGATATGTGTGTATAACACCAAACCCACTGCCGTCGAGTCGATTCTGACTCATAGCGCCCTATATGGATCCTGTATGTGTGTGTTTTTATCTAAACAGATCCAATCAAGTTTTAAGTATTGCATTTAGTTCTAGTTACTCTTTAAGAACTGTATTTATTTTTAATGACTATTATAAACTTTCTCTCTCTGGGAAAAACCCCAGATGATTCTGATTATATCCCCTGGTCTGATACTTCTACAACGCTGCCCTCCCTTATTGGTAACACAATTCTGCAAGTCATTCAAAACTAGGCCTGGTTTTTCAGAACATCAATTTATTATAGGTGATTGCCATCCTTTTAGATATACCTTTAATAATAAACTTTTGTAATGCCTTCTTTATTACTCTGCAATAACAATCAGATAATATATCAACATACACACAATTAAAACAAACATCAACAAACAGCTGCCACTGAGTTGGTCCCAACTCATGGAGACCTCATGTATGTCAGAGCAGAAGTTGCTCTATAGGATTTTCAATGGCTTATTTTTTGAAGTCTTTGGGTAGACTCAAACCTCCAACCTTTTGGTTAGCTGCCAAGTACATCAATCGTTTGCACCACCCAGAGCCTCCACACTTAACATAAGAGAAGACACTCTCTCTACTCTACCCCTAACAACTTCAAAGAGGTAAATACAATTTTTATCAACCTCTTAATAACAAAAACCCTATAGTTGATGTAAAAATCCCTGGGTGACACAAGCGGTCTGTGACTCACTGGTAGCCTAAATGTAGGCAGTTCAAACCCACCCAAATGCGCCACAGAAAAAAGGTCTGGCAATCTGCTTCTGTAAAGATACAGCCAAGGAAACGCTATGGAGCAGTTTTAATCTGTAACACATGGGGCTGCCATGAATTAGAATCGACACAGCAGTGGGTGTGGTTGTGGTTTTTATAGCTGATGCAACTGAGTTCTCTGGATTCTACTCATGTCACCATGGAGTTTTACTCTATACTGAAGCAGTGACTGGCAAACTTTTTCTCAACCCTATTGTTGTAAGGCAAAAACAGCCACAGATGATATATATAAGTGAATGGAGGAGGCTGTGATCCAATCAAAAAAACATTATTTACGAAAACAGGCAACAGGCCATATTTGCTGATTCCTTATTAAAGTATTACCAACTTATATTTGTAGCAGGCTTAGTCCAGTAGGACATTTGAAAATCATGAGGCATGGAACAACTCTTCGTTGTGTGACACTGTCTCACATAATGCAAATGGCCTAGCATCCCCAGCCCCTAAATGCCAGTCATTTACACCCAATAACACCAACACAAATTTCCCAAATGCTGAGTGTGTCCTGCCCCCATTAAGAATCACTGAATTCACAGGCGGGAAATCCAATAATTGAAGATAACCTTACCTCTCCCGAGGCCGTCGTTCTAGTTTTGGCTCATCCAGCTGACGTTGTAATTTCTCCTGTTCCTTCTGTAGCCGCTCTTCTACTTCTCGTTCTCTAGCAGCTGTGTCAACAGGCTTTGCCCCTCCAAAGATAGATGCCGCTCGACTGGACTGGGAGGTGCTAGCAGAGGAATCATCTTCCTTAGGAGTACTCCGAGGCTTTAGATTCAGTTTGGGTCTTTGGGGGGGACCTAAGTTAAATGAAACTCTAAGTAATAGTTTTCCAAATCATCAGAAGCTGTTGGCTGAAAGCCAGATTCCCAGATATAGCTCTTATGAAAAGCTATATGGGATCAGGTTAGTGGCCTAGCCAATCCAGCACAGAAGATGGGAGATCATTAGAAAATGGGCAGCTTAAATAATCAAGCCTAATGGAATCAAATCTTTCCTCTACCAGATCTATGATGAAATATCAGCCTATGGCAAAGATTTTATCATGGTTACTATTACCTAGGAAGAAATTTTCTACCATGATCAAACTATTGGGTGAAAACATCTAGTTCAAAAATCTGGTCTAGAAGATGGGTACCTTCAGCAGTTTAAGATGAGCCAGTAACAATGACAGGAAAGTTCTTATACTCTTGTCTTTAACATAAATTTAATGGGTGATTCACAGGGCAAAATATGTAATGCTGAACATATGAATATAAACTCTAAGGCTGTCTGATTTCTTCCTTAGTCGAAGTTGTCAGAATACTTCAAGATAAACTTAAGTGTTTCAAGGAAATTGTACTTTTTAAAATCATTGTTTATCCTAAATATTTCAGACACCCAAAAGCAGCTGAAGCCTCCCGAGTTTTCCTCCCCAATCACACAAGCCTCCCTGAGCTGTCTTCTCATAACCATACACTGAATTTGTTGTTATCATTCCCATGAATGTCTTTATACTTTCACTACTTAACTATGTATTTGCAAACAAAGAGTATATTGTTCAGCAAGTTTTCAATTTTCTGTAAGGGTTTTAAGTAGGCAGTTTATATAGCTTCTGAGACACCTTTTAAATCTGTATAACTTTGGGAAGTGGCCACTACCTTCACTTTTACAGGGCAACTCACATAAGGTCATACAGCTAATATTTCGTGGACCTGAGAATGAAATCCTATTAATCAAAGCAACTCAACTGCTCCTTTCACTACGGTACACAATGTTACTTTCTTTTTCCTTTGAGAATGTCCTTTTATCTACCCACTTAATAAACAATTTATTTAACACCTATATGGTTAGAGCCTATTCCAGGAATAATGGTTATGTAGTTTAGTTCCTGCCTACAAAGGAACCCAATTTACTGGGAGAGTCAGAGTAAAAAAGAATACAGTATGTTAAGTTCTACAAAAGAGATTTATACATATGAAAGATACAAGGGTGGGACTATGTTTGGGGAAGCCAGTGAAGGCTTCAAAATGGTGACACCTGAGCACAGTCTTGAATGATGAGCATGCACCTAACAGGAGGAGGGACAGGGACAATGCTGAAGAGAGAAACTGCAGGCAAGACAGTGAAGGCGCTTATATGTCAAACAGATATAGACAAAGGTGTATCTTTCAGGCCACAGGGCAACTAAGGTTTTTAAAAGGAAGAGAACAATTTAACTAGATTTTGTTTCAGAAAGACAACTGGGCCCAATATGGAGAATGGAGTGAGGCAGGGAAATCTGTCATGAGGCAATTGCCAGTAATGTGGTGCAGCAATGAGGCCTGAACAAACGTAGCAGCAGCAACTCTGGAGAAGAGCGGGCAGCTCTTAGAAGGAGTGCGGGGTAAGGTCAACAGGAAAAAATAGGTGTGCAGGTAATGGGGGTGGGTAAGGAATGGTGAGAGGGGAAAAAGTCAGGAGTCAAGGAGGCCCACATCTGAGCCTCCACTTTTCTTACTGTAAAATGGAGATAATTATACATACAAGACACAGAATTTCTTAGGATTGAATAATACTTGTACGAGCACTTACCTCATTACTCAAAATTAAAAGAGATGATGTACATAAAGCACTTGGCATAAAGGTCAGGATTAATACAGGGATGCTAAAAGGCTATGTCTAAGGTCTACGAATAAGTAAGGTTAGAAAAATTCTGGGCTACAAACCTTACTTTTTTGATGACATTGTCAAAGTCAGAACACAAATGGTGATCATTTATTAATAATTTTTGATAGGTCAGATTTGTAACACAGTATATGTTTTATATAAACAGTATAGCATTAGCGGCCTAATTTTAGAATGGGTACAATGACATCTCACCATTAATTATCGAACATCCATTATTGTGGTGTAATGGCACTGAAACTGGCAAAAAAAAAAAAAATCAAACCTGCTACTGTTGAGTCAATTCTGACTCACTGTGACCCTACAGGACAGAGCACAACTGCCCCACAGGGTTTCCAAGGAGCGCCTGGTGGATTCAAACTGCCAACCTTTTGGTTAGTAGCAAAACTCTTAACCACTACGCCACCAGGGTTTCCTAAAATCACCAACACTTGGTTTTTAATGCCACATTGTCAATTACTGGCTATGAGACTGGGTGTTTAATCTGAGTCTCATTTCCTTCATTTGAAAAACGAGGCTAACACCATCACCTATTTTAAATGAAATCATACCATATAAGAATGTCTGCCAAATGTTTTTTCCCCTTTTCTACTTTGTTTATTCAATACATTTTAACTGAAAAATCTATATCCTAAGGCATATAAGATGAAAAGAACTGGACTCTGCTTTATTCCCATGATGTCATCCTTATCCAATGCTCTTTCTACTATGCTCTGCCAGCTCCTTTATAATGTATAAAACAGATGTGTGCCCACCTGTGGGATCTGAAACATAATGAGCTTTCCAATCTGTTTTCTCAGTGGTCTGCTCCATAAGCAAAAAAAAAAGATTACCTCTATCGTCACGCCTATAATCATCCCGAGTGTAATCGTCTCTGGATCCCCATGACCGATCATCCCTTCTGTCATATCGGTCTTCATAGCGGTCCCCACCTCCTCTGTAGTCATCATCCCTTCGGTACCCACTACCAAATGCTCTTCTGCCACTGCCTATCCTGGAGTCATAGCCTGTAAACAGATCCCAAATTACAGGCATCATACTGGAGCAAAGAAAAGGCAAAAAAGGAATCCTTGAAAGAAAGCCATTTAACTTAATTGTGTTTTATAATTACCTCTATCATAGTCTCTGCTGCCCCGGTCATCATATCGATCCCGGCCTCCATATCGATCCATATCCCGGCGTGGGCCGTCACGATACCCATCACGATACCGGTCTGAATCGTAGCGATCACGGTACTCTAGAGAGAAAGAAAAAGACAGGTAATAATATCCCTTTTGATTCTTTGGCACCATTATCAGAAAGAAACATGACAGCCCATTAGGCTAATCTGAATTCATGAATTTGTATTCACTGCTATGCTTCAGTTTTCATTAGAACAAATCACATTATATCCAAAGTGAAAGAATGTATATCAAATTAAGCTTTTCTTGAATTTATTTGATCTCTTAAAAAAATTTCTCTGGTAATTCAATAAATGTTGCTGGACTAAGAATTTAGAAGGGAGGAAAAAGTAAAACCTCTATATAATCCCATAATGAATTTCCAGTGGGATCAAAGGTTTAAATATAAAAATGTTAACATAGATACACTAGAAGAAAGTATACTTGGAATTTGCTATGCTTGATGACAAAGAACCAGTCAAATACCACTTTACAAAGTTCAGCACAGGAAAATACACATACCACAAACCTGAAACAAAATGGAAAAAAGTATGTGAAATGCATTAATTGTCTATTACTTTAGTAACAGAAACTAAAATTAATAGGGTATTGTTTTCCTCTTCCTAAAAAGGCAAGGATTGATGTAAATCTTTGTACCTAGCGCTGGCAAAGTTTAGAGGAATACATTAATTACTGCACTGTCAATTACAGTTTAAAATAGTACAACCACTCTGAAAGTTGTTTTAGAAATAGGCAGTCATTGTTATGTGCCGCTGAGTTGATTTCGACTCATAGTGACCCCATGTAACAGCGTAGAACTGCTCCTATAGAATTTCTGAGGCTTTAATTTTACAGGAGCGGACTGCCATGTCTTTCTACCATGGAGCTGCTAGTTGGGTTCTAACTGCCAACCTTTCAGTTAGTAGCCAAGCGCTTAATTGTTGAGCCACCAGGGCTCCTTAGAAATATACATTGAAAAGCTTAACTAAAAAAAAAAAAAAAAAAAAAGAAAAGATTTTAAATCATGCATACCCTCCCTGTGGGCCAACAATTCACTTTCTAGGATTCTATCCCAAGGAAATAACTGGATGCAGGACAAAGAATATAAGAATGTTCATTGCAATGCTATTTATAATAGCAAAACTGTGGAACACATAACAAGGTAAAGATTAAATTATGGGACAACCATCCAAGGCAGTCATTAAACTGAGAGATATATTTACTAAATGTATTCAAGACACATTGTTTTAAACATGTTATGTACTATATTTTACGCCACAGATGCATATTAGTACCCAAAACTGACCAAACCCAACCCATTGCCATTGAGGTGATTCTAACTTACAGCAACCCTATAGGATAGAGTAGAACTGCCTCATAGGGTTTCCAAGGAGCGGCTGGTGGATTTGAACTGCTGACCTTTTGGTCAGCAGCCAAGCTTTTAACCACTGCGCCACCACAGCTCCTTATGAGTATCAGAGGCCCCTCAATACCAGAAATTTGTTTAAAAGAGTGTAGTAGCTCAGATGGTAAACGGGGTAGTATAAGCCATTTATAAAAAGGATAGCTGTTATTTAGCTCCAGCTGACTGCTGCCAGATCTTCCGATTTTCCAAGAGAAGCTGGAAACCCAGATTTTCATGTGAAAAATCTCAATTTCTACTATGGACCAACTAAATTAAAACAAACAAAAACCAATCAACCAACTAACCAACCAAACAAACAAACCAAAAAAAAACCCCAACCTTAAAAACATTTTGAGGGCTAATAATTTATGTGTGTGGGCCAAACATGGATCCTATTTTTATGACTACTTCCTTTCAAACAATGATTTATTTCATTTTGGAAATGACATCATTTTGTCAGTGTCACCAGACATAATGTTCCCTGGTATTTTAATTTTTATAAATTAAAGGACATGCCGTTAGCAAAACAATTACATACAGAAGAGAATCTAACACAGATTACAAACAAAACAAAAATCAGCCATGAATTTACTTTGAAATACATTTTTAATTTCTGGAGCAGAAAATGAACTCTGTACTTGATTTTCTTTACATAATATTAAAATTATAGTACGCTTGCAATCACAGAGAAAACACAGCTCCACCGTGAAGAAGCACTTTAGTATGCTGTTACTGGAGAGTTAGCCAGGGCACAAACATTTGCTAAGGTTTTATAGTAATATTTAGAACCTCCCAAAGGGCTCTTTTTATTTTTTTTGCTTAACATTTGGGACAGGAGTCTCTGACATTATGTCCATATAATCCTTCTGATAAAGAATGACCTCTTGATATACAGTAGAACCCGCAAAAGCCAGAACCCGTGTAAGGCGGCAATCTGTCAGAGAAGGAAAACTAAAATAGTTTCCACTAGAAAGCAATAGAAAAGTGGTGACCGCACCCTGTGAAAGGCAGAAAACCTGTGAGACCCAGAAAAACAAGGGGGACCAGGGGGAGTTCCAGCTCTCACAGGTTTCACTGTGGTCTGGGATCTCCAACTCATGTTGGGCTATGACAAATTTGACTTTGGGGCCATCATCTAAGGCCTTACACCTGGCAACTTTGCATAACAATAGCACCTTCACTCTTTCTTGCTATACATCCTGCAAGAGTCTACTCCTGCCTGCTCTAAACTCAAGATTTCAGGTGAGAATGTAGTCATCATGCCTCCTGACTCAAAAAAGGACCCCTGGTCTGACTGTCTGCTTTTTCTTTCAAGAGTTATTTCTACCAGTTAACAACAGAATACCTCTTGCATAAACCTTGAAGCGAAGTACCCTAGATAGTTCTTCTCAAGGCTTTGTCGGGTCACAAAGACTTAATCGTAGTCAGATATAAACTTACGGATTTATTCTTCCTTCTGACTGATCTCTGCCCCATTCTTTCTTCTCCCACATCTTATTCAGTTAAAGAAGACTCTCAACACTATTCCCAAATAGGAACCATATTTCTTACTGCTTCCTCCATTATTTGGTACAGAACACACTAGGTGTCTTCAAAAGTAAAATGTTTGTGAATTTAGGCTGTTCTTTCCATTTCTTTTTACTTACAAAATATTTCAAACATATGGAAAAGTACAGAAGTGATTATAACAAACTTATGAACCTCTCTCTCAGGTTTAGTGGCTATCAGTACTTTGCCGTATTTACTTCAGTTCTGTTATTTAAAAGTAATGCTATACATACAGCGAAAGGACCCCTCCCACCCACATCAGCAAACATGATGGTGGGTGTTCTTACCAAGCAAATTTTCTAATTTTTACAACATATATTAACATACGATATTACTGACATATTTGCTTCCCCCCTCAACACAATATGTTTTGCATTTTATTCCCATTGTTACATGTATGTTACGCCATAAAATACTACGTTTTATGGGCAAACCGCTTCTTTTTCTTTCCTTTACTATACAGTAGATTTTTAAAAAAATTCTTATTAGTGTTGAGCCTTTTTCATAAATTTTAATAAAGTTGCATAATTTTCTACATAAAGGTTTTACAAAGCTTTTCTTGGATTTAGGCAGCATCTGTGAGAGTTGTAACTCACTCCTACTCCGACCGCATGATACTTTCTAGTCCCCTTTTCTCTCTTTCTGTCTGAACTACAATCTGTTTTATTCATTTACATATTCTCTCTCTCTTCCCTACTAGAAAGTGTGCCCAATTAAGGTAGGACTTTTGATCTGTTTTATTCACTGCTATATCCTGAGCCTAGAACAGTGCCCAGCACATGGCTGACGTTTAGCCATTTTTTAAATGAATTAATTTTCTATTATTTTAAAAGGTATCTTAAAAATCATATTTTAACAACCAACAAAAAAAAGGGCAAAGCCTACAGATGCTGATACTAACTGGACATAACCAATCACCTCATGGGATCCGTTCTCTTGGTTTGGAGGCTTAGGGACATGGTCTCATGGTAGTCCAATCAACTGTCACAATATAGTTCTTAAAAAGTTTATGTTCTACCTCCCAGTATGGTGAGTAGTATCTGGGGTCTTAAAAGCTTAGGAGCAGTCATCTAAGACACAACTATTGGTCTTTACTTGTCTGGCACAAAAGAGAAAGAAGGAAAAGAATCAAGAGAAGGAACTGGACTACAGGACTAATCGTCTACATGAACCACTGCTTCCTACACCTTGAGACGAGAAGAACTAGATGGTGCCTGGCTACCGCTACTGAAAGTTCTCCACAGGAACACAATAGATGAATCCTGATAAAAAGGGAGAAACATGTGGAACAGAACTTCAAACTTAGAGAATCCGGATTTACTGGACCTACTGAGGCTGGAGAAGTCCCTGAGATTATGGGTCTGAGTCACTCTTGAAACCCTTGAATTCAAACTGTCCCCTGAAGTCACCTTTAAACTAAGTGACAGTTTAGCCCAAAGAGTAAAGACTGTCACCCTTGAGTACTGAGTTTCTTAAAACAAAAAAAGATCTGTAAGACCAAAGGGTCAACAGCTATTTTAAAGAATAGACGAGAAGGTTAGAGGGCAGGGAGATTAAGTAAAAGGAAGTGAAACCACCAGAACAGAAATAAAAAGAATGTTGACACAATGTGAAGAAGGTAACCAACGTCACTGATCATTATGTCTAGAAACTGTGGAATGGGACTGGGTTTTGCTGCGTATATTTTCAACAAAAATAAAATTAAAAAAAAGTAATAAAAATTACATTTGATTGTTGCTGATAGCACACAGCAATGCAATCAACTTCTGTATACTGCTCTTGACCTGGCAAATTTTGCTCATTGCTTATTAGGTTCAGTTTACTTTGTAAGATCTGTTGGATTTCTTTATCTCAACCTCCCTACCCTCAATCCTGTCTGATACTTGGTTTTTTTTCTTTCCCCCCTGGTCTTACTATGCTGGCTAGGAGGAGCTTAAGTACAATGTTGAATAGCAAACGTCCTTGTCTTATTTCTGACTTTAAAAGGAACGTTTCCAGGGTTTCACTGTAGATACCATTCATCAAGTTAAGAAATGTCCCATCTATTCCTTGTTTGGTAAGGTTTTCACTTTTTAAATCATGAATTTACTAGTCCTTTTCTGCATCTGTTATCAATTATTTTGGATACTACTAAATTATCAATGTTTTCTATATCTATTGCTTTTACCTCTTCTATCCACTAATGTGATCATCTATATCAATACATTTGTAGTATTACTACACCCCCGAGCACAAAAGAAATGAACTTTGTAAAAATGAACTTACTGTCTCCAAAGCTATCATCACCTCTTCTAGGGGGGTAGTCATCGAAGCTGTCTGTGGCAGGGCGGGCCCTCCAGTCTGTATCTGTTTTGTCAGAATCCCGATTTCTATCTCGGCCAAAAGAACGATCATCCCTGTCTACATGTTAAAACAACAACAAAAACCAAAACAAAAAAACATAAATTAGCTCACAAAAGTTTTGCCAAACAGCTCTCATAAATAAAAAACAAAACAACAAACTCCATTGCCGTTGAGTCAATTCCAACTCATAGCGACCCTATAGGACAGGGCAGAACTGCCCCGGAGAGTTTCTAAGACTATAAATCTTTATGGAAGCAGACTGCCACATCTTTCTCCTGCAGAGTGACTGGCGGGTGGGTGGTGGTGGTGGTTTTGAACTGCCGACCTTTCTGTTAGCACCTGAGTGTTTAACCACTACACCACATGGGTTCCATAACCTCTCTCATAGGTATACAAAACCCCCTCATTATACTGTATTTCTTTTATATCACGGCCTCATCAAGAAGTTGCCCAGCCCCCAACTCCACTGAATGATTCTTTTCCTCACATTTATTGCTACTGGTTTAATTCTCATCTGTCCCATGTTCTGTATAGGCCAGGAGCCCCTGAAACATACATGATGAATTAGGTCTTTCATGTGCCCAGTGTACTGCTAGGTACCTAATACATTTATAACATTAACATTTGGATCAGGGTTTCTCAGTCTCGTCATTTTTGATATTTGGGCTAGATAACTCTTTGTTTGGGGGAGCTATTCTGTGCACTGTAGAATGTTCAGCAGCATCCCTGGATTCTACCCATTAGATCCAGTAGTACTCTCCTCAGTTGTGACAACCAAAAATGTCTCCAAACATTGCCAACAGTATCCTGTAGGGCAAAACTATCCCTCATTGAGAACTACTACTCTAGATTCAAGTAGGCCTATCACTGTGTACCTCTATTAAACATTTCTGGGAAAGGACACCTCTGTTTTGTCATCCTAGGACTGTGACAAATAGGAAAATTTTTACCAGCTTTCTTACCTTTATCCTGTGCTTGATCAGCAACATCCACTCGAATTCTCCTGTTACCTAGAGACTGAGAGCATAGGACCATATTAACCAACCTTTTGCCCCATTATGCACAAATCCCATGAGTGACCCTGAACATCTGGGCACAGCAGAAGCACTGGGGGAAGGAAGATAAAGGAAAAACACTGTAATCAAGCTAACACTCCCACCTGTTAGCTAAAGAATCGTTTATAAAGGCTTGAAAATGGAAATAATCCCTTAGTAATTCCTAAGGGTTAGGGTTTAAGTTGGGCTTAAATGAATTTAAAGTTAACTATCTTAACATTTAGAGAGCCATTACCACGCACCAGCAAAGCCCCATAAAGCACGGCCTCTGTCCATAATCTCAGGTTCTTTCACTCAGTATTACCTTTGGGTAAATCAGTTCCTCCAGGGATACCCTCTGATTTCCCTTTCCTACATCATTATCTATATACTTTGAACCCCATTATTCTACTGCTGATTTTTCCTCATTTCATAGTAGAGTCTAGAGTTGAAGAAGGATAACAATGAGTTTTAGTTATGAACACGTAAGAATTATATTAAATCTAGACCATGGCAATATTTTAAGTAACAGTCAATCCAACAAATTTCAAATAATAAATAACAATTTTGTGGTATACCTTTTCTTATCCAGACTAAGAGGTCAAGTTAAAGATTAGTTATGCCAATAAAACATAAAAATGATCTGACAACTTGGAACAACCTTGGCCTTTCATACACTGAACTATTTAAATACACAATTTTTTATACCCATTCCACATTTACTTCAATTATTATGATAGTACTCAATAATGAGACAGCAAAAATATTTATAAGAACTGCTGACTTCAATTTTCATGTTAAAAGGCAGATTTGGACTACAGAATTATGGCACAGGAAATTGTCTCCTCAACAAAGAAGGGTTCCTGGAGTTAGAGGAGAGAAAAAAAAACCTTTTCTTTCCAGACATAATTAGTTTGATTTCTAAATTGACCAGAGATAAAAAAGCAGTTCCTGGATTAGAACTTCCATTACTAACAGGTAACTAAATGCTTCCACTTGCTGCTTGGGCCAATCTAAGAGTCACTAGATGGCACCAATCACTCAACCATTACAATTCAATTAGTTCCCATTCTCCTCATGTATTATTAACAGCTAAATCTCCTCTCCCTCCTGAACCTCTCATGTCTCTGGAGAGAAAAACAGTTAAGGGTTGTGCTGAAAAGCAGAACACTGAATGTCTACACTGTCATTCTCCTGTAATCCCTGTAAAGCACTCCTAGGAGCCTATGTAACAAAAAATATTCTAATGAGAAATATCGAAAAGTACTTATCTGAAAATGAGACAAAGCCTTTTAATACTAAACTGATTAATAAAAGCCTTGAGAACTGAAGCAAGGCTGTGAATAAACAAATGTGAGGTTTTATTAAAGAGTTGGTGTGGTAAAATTTCTTTCAGTTTTTCACCTAAGCACCTCCTGAATTATTAGGGTCTGCTGAAATTGCTGCAGTAAAGTGTAATTTGCTAGAAATTGAATGTTAAGTGATATATTATTAAATAATCCAGGTTTTCTGGGGTAGATATCATAAATATCTTTAAAAGAAAGTTACTGACGCAACCTAAATATCAGTCTAATCAGTAAACACTAGAAATCTCGTTAGTGCCCACCTCCCTCCCTTTACTTTCTGTACCTCTTCATTAAGGCTCAGGGCACTAAGCAGGGAATCCAGGTCCTCAAACTCAGCATAACCAAAACCTTTTAATCTTTCTGGATTGCTGGGTTCACGTGGTAAGCGCACTGCACTGATCTGAAAGAGTAAAGAAACAGAAAATGTTTCCATTCAATAGTCTTGTTCATTTGTCTTTTTTTTTTTTTTTTTTGACCACATAGCACCACTGTACATCTAATAAATTTCCCTGAATACAGGAGAACCTGGTTGTTTTCAAGGGGAAAACTGACAGAGGGATAAAAGAGAGACTTCAGTATATGCCCCGTTATACCCGTTGAAGAGTGAACCATGTTAATTTAACCCTTGAAAAAAACTGAACATGAATTCAGTGTATGCCTTGCATCCTGACTCTGCCTCAGTCTACCTTTCTAGCTTTTAGTGTCTTCTCCTCCCAGTTAAGAGCAATTGCCCATTGCACAACTAGTTTTTTAGTCACCTCTTTATGCATCTATGTTTTTAGTACATATTTCCAATTCTCATCCCTCAGAAATTAGAACCATTTTTTGCCAAAGTTTTCTGGGCAGTTTATTTTTCAGAATACTTACATATCTGATGAACTTTATTGTTTTTATATATTAACAACGTTATTGTTGTTGGGTGCCTATTTTGACTCATAGCAACTCCATGTCACAGAGCAGAACTACCCCATAGAGTTTTCTAGGCTGTAATCTTTATGGGAGCAGATTGCCAGGCCCTTCTTCTGTGGTGCCACTGGGTAGGTTTGAACCACCAACCTTTTGTTAGCAGCCAAGTACTTAACCCTTGGGCCACCAGGGCTCCTATATTAACAATAGCTGGGCTGAATCAAACACTGGCTTGTAACCCCTCCTCCCACCCTCTGCTAAATTCTAAGGTGGTGGACCACTGAATTCATAAGACTTTCTGAAGTACAGGAAAAAATTTATACTAACCTGGTTTTAATTTCTTTAAGACTAACTTGTGTTGTCTAATTGCAAGTTTGCAGGAGTCTTTCTTTTAGCCTTAAGTTTTGTACAGCATTTCCTGGTACTAATTTTTATTTATTGTTTACAATAGGGTACACACTCTCCATTTGCAAGTCTTTTTCAAATACTTTTGACTATATTCTTTCCATCTTTTTGACATCCTCCATGTCTCTTTTCCTTGTCTTACATTCTTCATTTCTTCAGCATTTTGCATATATTCAAGTTCATCTCATGCATCACTGATTTGATACTTTATTCTGGCTTCTGAGATACAGATTTTGTTACAGTCTCTTTTAAATTCTAGTTTAACTCATGACTAGAGTAGGAAAAGGAGCAAAATATGAAGGGGGGAGCTGGCTACAAAAACTAGTTTCGGAACATACACGTGAACAGCCTGAACAGGCCAGAGGGTATTCACCATTCTATTTAAAAAGCCACAATAGTGAAATAAAATACAGGCCAGCCTTTTAGTTATATGATTATATAGAGAAGATCTGTAGGTAGCAGCCAAAAAACCAAATCAGAAAAGCCAACTACAAAAGTTGGTGGCCCACTGCAGAGAACAAGATGTAGGGAATCAAAAAGCACAGCAAGAGTAAAGGAGGAAGCAGATTCTTCGAGGAAACGTACTTTTAAAATGTCTTCTCATGGGTAAAAACTATGGAGAAAAACCCAACAGAATTGGAAATAGGTTTGATTGTTACTCATTCTTTCATTTTCTGATTTTGTAAGTATTTTTAAATGAAAGTTAGGCAAAGGGACTTCTGAGCATTTCTATACTCACTTTTTTACATCTCTCTGGAATCTTGTTCACCACTGTTTCCAAATATCCTGTCTTATGCCTTTTAAAGCAAGCCTATGAACATGTGAATACCATTATATGTGGCACTAAGCTCACAGAACCTTTAATAATCATCTCAGCAAACTCCTCTGTTAATACTAACTACATACCCGCTCAGTTAAATATATTCATATAAAAAATCAAGAAGTAATTCAGATATGTCAGTTGTCCGTACTGTTGAATGTCACTAACAGAACGGCTAAGTTCAGAGAAATTTTCTTTCCATCTTTTGCCATTTAATCGAGTATCTTCACCTTTAAATTTCTTAATGAGAAGGGGCATAAGTTTCTGAGATCTTCTGTGTATCAAAAGGCATTATTAATTCTGCTGATAAGACTGACCGATTGGTATAGGATAAGAACATTCTCAAAGGCCCTAAACACCACCTCATCAACTGCATACATACTCCTGTTCTTCCAAACCTAGTCAGGACCCCAGAATCTTTTCAGCATAGCAATTCAGAGGCAGTCACTATCAATATGCTACCCTCCATATCAAGTTAATTGCCTAAAACTTTTACACTTACATTTAATCCTCTAAAGAATTCCTTAATGGAGTCTTCTGTCACGTCATAGGGCAGATTCCCTAGAAAAGCAGTGTAAGGTGGTGATTTGGGAAGACGGCTCCGGTCGATATTGGGTTCCCGAGCAGCCCGTGGAGCAGTGGGCAGGATAGAACGGTCAATTGGAGGTGCCCTATACACGTCGTCATCATTACTGTGCCAAGTGGTTGAAACTAGGAAAAGTAGATACAGGAGATTAGAAAAACTTCCTTTACTACAGAACAAGAGGATCCATGCTAACTGCCAAGTATTAAACAAGCTATATCAGAAAACAGAATAAGGGCACTTTACAAAGAGAAAATGCTTCTTAAATGATGTTAGAATTAGAATAGTAATTAAAAAAGGAAAAAAAAGGTTCTCAGCATTCACTGTTTCTAAGTATTTCAAGGTCTTTAAAGGCTCAGGCTTTTGTTAGCAGAATTATTATACTTCTTACTCCTTACGAAACAAAGAAATGAGGGTAATAACCACTACTATTTATGGAACACTGTGCCAAGTGCTTTTATCTTTTGAACAATCTCCTGAGGTTGTTCCCCATTCTACAGTGAAGAAAACTGAGATTTCAGAAAGGTTCAGTCATTAGCCCAAGGTCACACAGACGGTAAAGCAGAAGGGCTAAGATTCAACCTGTATTCAAATGTATTTAACCACTACTGACAACTCCCATATTCCTACCTTTAGGCTGGAGAAAATACTTTTGCCATGGTTTATCCTCCCTCTTTGGCCATCAATTTCAAGTATCAACACTTTATGGAAAGTAAGATCTACACCCACTCCTCACTTACCCACAGTTAAGTTCCAAAAACCAGGTTGTTATGCGAAAATGGAGAATTTCCTCCATTTTCAGACCATCCATTTGTCTCTTTATTTAGAAAATATGATCATAGAAATAATAACAACTAAGATTTACTGATGTGCTCATCACTGTGACAAGTCCAGTTATGGATTATTCCTCTGCGGACAAGGAGGCTTGGAAGAGATAAAGATGGATAAAACTGGGCAGTGTGAATGGAGGACTCATGGCTTAACCACTTTACCTTCCTCCTGTGCTGGGTCAGAGCTTCCATGGCGGGGGGAGGTGGGGGAACCTGCCTCCAGGGCTCCACACCTATCCCTGGCAAGCCTTGCACTCATGGTTCACAATCCCCGTAGCCTGTTCTGCTCTCCAGGCCTGACCATGCACTTGTCCCCACCAAGGCAGAGGCTTCAGGCCCAGTTTGGCTCATTTTGGCAATTCATTAAACTTGCATGCATTTCTTCCAGTGCCTCTTTCTCTCCTCCCTTCCCATACCACAGCAATTTTGAGCTGCAGGGCCTCAGGCTGCATAGGAGCTGAGAACCCAGAACGGGTGCCTGCTGCCTTGGTGCTGCCTGTGCTGTGGGTCTGCCGGGAAGCAGAGGCCAAGGAGGAAGGAGCAGCTGGACATGGCGCCCCCACTGGCAGGGGGGAGTGGGGTAGCGAGGCACACTTCTTGGAGGTCGCCAGGAGACCCTCCTCAAAGGAGAGGCTACAAAGGCATTGCCACCATGCCCTCCGCCTTGTTAATGTGCAAAATAGCTGTATAGTACATTTTTTACTATTGTCGTAAACGCAAAATGTTGGATAATGAGATAGTTGCTAAGAGTTGCTAAGTGAGGAGTAGGTGTATAGGAAATCTTTATTTTCATTATGAAAATAGGTCACAAAACACAAGTATTGTTCCAGTATGTCATAAAAGCTTTTAGTAGAACATGATGGAGATCAGGTTTATGTCATAATGGATAATTATAAAGATTAGTTCCTGCCTATTTCTGGCTACTCCCTGAAGGCACAGAGCTTGTCCAAAGGACATCCCAATGATCCTTCTACATTTCCCCACCTTAATTAGTACTCTCATTCTTTTCCTCAGACCATTTTCATTTACTCAGAGACACCCTGCCGTCACATAAATGGTTCCTAGAACTAATTACTTCTTGGCTCTGAATACACACCACTTACAGATTATATTGCAATATAACTTTACATGAGGACATCATAGAATTTTAGACCTAGAAAGAATTTTAAAAGAGTCCTTACTTCTCAAATGAAGAAAATGAGGCCTAAAAGGATAGTAACTTGAGTAGAGTCTATTAATGCAAGAGCTAGAACCAGTGCTAAACGCTCCTGAACCACCATTTCAGGCTCTATCACATTCTTGTAACATAAACCTAACGTAAAGGTTTTATAAAATACATAAACTTAAGATTTCAGGCTCTACAAAATGAGTAAGTTCCTTTTAAATTATGAAAATTTCTGAATACCTCTAAAACAACAGATGCCTACAGTCCTATAAAAAATTAAACTCTTTGGTAAGTTGACTGATTCACATTATAATTATCTAGTACTCGGTTTAATAACAACAAATGTGAATCGTGCAAAAAAAAGTTATTTTTATGGAATAGGTTTCATCTAGAAGATAATGAAAATTCCAAGCATGATGGAAAACAAAAATTACCATCTCCTTCCAGGTCATCTGTTTCATCAGCCCAGCTGACTGGTTTGGGGACATAGGTGCTTCCTCCACCAGTACCCCCATCCTCAGCTAGGAAATCTGTTAGGGAGATAGTCTTCCCCTTCTTATTCTTCTTTTTTGCTGTTTCAAAAAAGTAAGAGAAAGATTATTCACCAATACTCAGGTATTTACAGAACTATACAATGAAACACTGTTAAATATATCTACAAAGGAAAAAACACAAAGGCTATAAGGGATTGGATTACTGCACACCTATATGAAGAAAGGAAACCCTGGTGTTGTAGTGGTTAAGAGCTATGGCTGCTAACCAAAAGTGTGGCAGTTCAAATCCACCAGGCATTCCTTGGAAACTCTATGGGGGCAGTTCCACTCTGTCCTATAGGGTCGCTATGAATCGGAATCAACTCGACGGCAACGGATTTAGTTTTCTTGGTTTATGTGAAGAAATACTATGCAGGTATCAGTGAGGAGAAAGCATGATATAGTGGCAAAGAAGAACCCAACAGTAAGTGAAAAAATAAAAGTTGCAGAATACTTATTGTGTGATCCCCTCTTTTTTAAACATACTTTATATGTCTATGTATGGAAAAGGGTCTAGAAGGATGTTCAACAGTACCCTCTGTGGAGTAAGACCGGAGTGGAGGCAATCTTATTTCCTACGATATTTGCTCATGTCTTCTGAGATGTATAATTTAGCAACTACTTTTTTTTTTAAGTGTAAAATATTTTTTTACTATGATTTTTTTAAATTGTGATTTAGGTGAAAGTTTACAAAGCATATTAGTTTCTCATTAAACAGTTAATACACAATTTGTTTTGTGACATTGGTTGCCAACCCCATGATGTGTAAACACTCCCCTTCTCCATCCCACGTTCCCTGTTTCCATCAGTCCAATTTTCCTGTCCCTTCCTGCCTTCTCATCTTTGCTCTCGGGCCTCTGTGCCCATTAGTCTCATATACATGACTGAACTATGAAGCACATCCCTCACTTGTGTTATCGTTGGCCCTACAGACCTGTTTAATCTTTGGCTGAAGGGTGAACCTCAGGAGTGACTTCAGTACCGAGTTAAAAGGGTATCCAGGGGCTATGCTCTTGGGGTTTCTCCAGTCTCTGTCAGACCAGCAAGTCTGGTCTTTTTATTTTATGAATTTGAATTTTGTTCCCTGTCAGAGCAATTGGTGGTGGTAACTGGGCACCATCTAATTGTTCTGGGCTCAGTTTGGTGGAGGTTGTTGTCTGCTAGTCCTTTGAACTAACTCTTTCCCCTGCGTCGTTGGTCTCTTCATTCTCCTTTGCTCCAGGCAGGACGAGACCAGCAGATGAATCTTAGATGGCCACCAGAAGGCTTTTAAGACCCCAGTAGCTACTCACCAGTCAGATGTAGAATATTTTCACAGAGATAAGTAAAACAAAACCCCTATCCTCAATTAACATATATTCTATATAACACTTTACTTATTTATTTTATTGTTGTAATTTAAGTGAAAGTTTACATTTCAAGTTAGCTTCTTATACAAAAATTTATACATTGTTATGTGACCCTAATTGCTCTCCATATACTGTGACAGCACACACCTCTTTTTCCACGCCTGACTTCCCATGTCCATTCAACCAGCTCCTAACCCTCTCTGCCTTCTCATCTCATCTCCGGACAGAAGATGCCCATTTAGTCTCACCTATCTACTTGAGCTAAGAAGCATACTCTTCCTGAGTATCATTTTATGTCCCACAGTCCAGTTCAATCCCTGCCTGAAGAGCTGGCTTCGGAAACTGTTTTATTTCTGGGCTGATAGAGAATCCAGGGGCCATGCTTTCTGGGGTTCCTCCAGTCTCAGACCATTAAGTCTGGTCTTCTTACTAGAATTTGAGTTCTATACCCCACCTTTCTCTTGCTCCATCTGGGACTCTCTGTTGCATTCCCTGTCAGGGTGGTCATAGGTGGTAGCCAGGCACCATCTAGTTCTTCTGGTCTTAGGCTAATGAAGTCTCTGGTTTATGTGGCCCTTCTGTCTCTTGGGCTAATACTTCCCTTGTGTCTTTAGTGTTCTTCATTCTCCTTTACTTCAGGTGGTTGCGACCAGCTGATGCATCTCAGATGGCTGCTTGCAAGCTTTTAAGGCCCCAGACACCAGTCACCAAAGTAGGGTGCAGAACATTTCCTTAATAAACTTTGTTATCCCAACTGACCTAGATGTCACCTGAAAGCATGGTCCCCAGACCCCTACCCCTGCTACTCTGTCCCTCGAAGTGTTTGACTGTTTTCAGGAAACTTCTTAGCTTTGGTTTAGTCCAGTTGTGCTGACTTCCCCTGTAGTGTGTGCTGTCCTTCCCTTCACCTAAGATAATTCTACTATCTAGTTAGTGACTGACCCTCACCCTCCCTTCCCACCCTCATAATCATCAAAGAAAGTTTTCTTCTGTGTTTAAACCTTTTCTCTTGAGTTCTTATAATAGTGGTCTTATACAATATTTGTTCTTTTGCGACTGACTAAATTCACTCAGCATAATGCCCTCCAGATTCCTCCATGTTATGTATAACACTTTTTTAGGACTGCTTGATATGATACTTGTAAAATAACCGTACGAAACAGGAATCATTACTATCAATTTACAGAGAAGGAAACTAAGTCTCAGAGAGGTTAATGACTATCCTAAAGTTACAGAGATATTAGGCAGCAGGGCTACAATTAAAACCCAGGTTTTTAGCAACAAAGTCCAGGGTTTGTCCTCAGCCTCTAAGAAGCTTATTATCAGTTCAACGGCAGGCTATCTTAACCATGTAACCTTGGAAGCGTTGCCTTGGAAGAAATGCCTGGTGATCTATTTTGGAAAAATTAGTCACTAAAAATCCCATGGCACAATTTACTCTGATACACCTATGGTTGCCGTGAGTTCAGAGTTGATGACAATTTTTTTTTTTTAAATAACGACTCATATACCCTAGAAAAAATACTGTCTCCCTCCCTATCTTAACACCACACACAAAGATCAGACATGATACTAAAAGGAAAACACTACAAGAAAACCTTAACAATCAATACATTTAAATGCTCTTCCTGGTAATTTTTAGGACTCTCCAAATGGCTCTTTCTATTACTCCTCAGAACTTTCTCTGAGATGGCACCAATCAGTAGCTAATTCAGACGACTAACTGAAGTTCTAAAACTGGTCCGACACGAGCCATTACGTGATTTAATAAGAAGCAAGCAAGCAACTTTGTTATAACAAAAATCAGCTTCATGGCTTTTAATATCACGAATTCCTCCTCCACGTTCCAATTCCCATCTAATTTTCAATCTAATAGGACTAAGGATCTGTAACTTGATGCACCATTTGATTAACTAAAGGTTGCTCTATCTGCCTCTCTTTTAAAATTCAACCTTCAGAGGTCGGGCCAAGACAGCAGAGTAGTCAGACGCTTCAGTGGACCGTCTTTATAACAAAGACCCGAAAAAACAAGTGAATCGATTATATCTGGCAATCTGGGAGCCCTGAACACCAAAGGCAGAGTTGAGGAACCAGACTGAGTGGTAGGGGGAGTGAGAGACAGTTCAGAAGCAGCGAAGAGTTGCCAGACCTGACCTTGCCAGACCTGACCCGCCGAGAGCCTGAGCTCTTCAGGCCTGATCAGCTGGGGGTGAGCACTGAGACAGGAAAGTGCCGGTGCTCGGGAGGCACATTTTCTGCACTGGGAGAGACCCAGTGCAAGAGTCTACGTGGCCACCCGGAACCAGTGAGAAGCAGCCCTGGATCGGCAAAAGATTAAGTAATTGCGTATGGCCTACTGCGCGGGTGGAAAAAAAAAACTCCTTAGGGAAAAACCTCTCTCTCATTTACCTCCCTGCTCCCTGCTCTGCACTGGGTCCCAGAACAGCTTCAGCAATTGCTGAGTCGCCTGGGCCGGAAGTAGGATCCGTCACATGCCCAGAGCCATTCTCCCTGCCTTTGAGAGTGAACAAATTAACAAACAGGAAAAAATAAAATGCCAGCTCCCCTAAGTCAGGCACCCAGGGTAGGCACAGCTCCTTTGCCTAGGCACAGACAAAAGGGATTCATGGACTTTGAGTACCTTTCCCCCTGCATAGACTTGTGTGGGCCCATCTCAACAGCGTACGCCCTCATTACTGCAGTACAACAGGGTATATACACTGGAAGTCTAACTTCAACTGTTTCAGCTGTGAAGTGGCAGGTTCTTGACATGTGACACTGCTCTGTCCATTATGCAGGGTCTTCACCTACCCACATCAGGGGCCTGAGGACTGGTGGCTCCACCCACGCCACCTGCAATAGGGGCCCATAAATAAGAGGTGCACCCCCAGTCTTTACAGCCAACAGCACCAGGAGCTCAGAGTCTGGCTGCAAAACCCACCCACCGACCCACTCTAGGGAACAGGGACACGTCTTCCTCCTGGACACTCGGGGGTGGCTGTCAGCCCCCTGCCTTGCTCACAGTGTGTCCCCCTGCTGCAGCCAGATGCCTGTGCCAACACCAATCACCCATGCCTGTCTAGGACTGTAAGTGAGAGCCTACACCACATACTTGGTGGTTATCTACCTGGGCACCTGAGGTGAATCCATACAGGAGGAGTGGGCGGACTCCAGAGCTCACATATGTAGTAATAGTTCTAACCACCTGGTGACAGGACATTAGAGCTTCAAAGGTGCCAATCATCAAATTAGCTCATACGAGCAGCCTATTTTGGCATATCAAAACAAAACAAGAGGCTAGGACACAGTAAGCAAACATAAAATAAATAAAGTATAACTTATTGATGGCTCGGAGACAACAGTTAGTTATCAAGTCACATAAAGAGGCAGTCCATGGTGGCTTCAGCAAACTCCCAAAATAAAGAATCAAGAAATTTTCCAGAGGAGGAAAATTTCTTGGAGTTACCAGAGGCAGAATACAAAAGATTAATATATAGAATTCTTCAAGAAATTAGGAAGGAAATTAAACAAAACACAGAACACGCAATAGAGGAAATTAAAAAGACAAGAGCATAATGACAAATTTAACAGGCTGCAAGACTCCACAGAGAGACAGCAATCAGAAATCCAGAAGTTTAACAACAAAATGTCAGAATTAGACAACTCAATAAGAAAGTCACAGGAGCAGAA